AAAATAAAAGGCTTTTGGGGAATGTACTGTCGAGAACAACAATGAGGGGAACATTAAAGAGAGAGGGAGTTAAAAAACCGGAAATTTGATATAATAATAATAATATTATATTATTGTTATAATCATTATTATTATTGTGTATTTATGTTATTTTGTACACTAAACAAAAATTTATAATGCAAATTTCGTAGACAAACATTCGTATTGAAGTCTTGACTTTTTGACAATATCAGTTGCAAATGTTAAAAACCAATTTAGAATTTCATACAAAATTATTTTTTGATATTCAGTGTTGTGAAATCGGTGGGATGTAGATATATTGTCTTCTACTACCTAATTGTGGATTCATCAGGAACCTAACTTTCTTTCTCCAAAATCATTTATACTTATACCACTGTGCATTTTAATTCCTATTTGCGTAAGCACACTCATTTGTAGATTAAAATGTTTAACAGTTAACACATCGTCATATGCAGAAGATTTGCAAAAACTCATTTCGCCTTTTATAGAAACAACTTGTTCATGTTAAACAATTTAGTAGAATTTCATTTATTCCAATTATTAATGTTTAAAGTCTAAACTTGTTCATGTTAAACAATTTAGTAGAATTTCGTTCATTCCAATTATTAATGTTTAAAGTCTAATATTGTTATTAATTGAATAACTGACTTTACCATTGCTACAATTTAATGAATACTTCATCCGTAATCCTTTTAAGATGGAAAGTAACAAAAATTTTTAATAATAATCTCGCAAGAAAAGGTTTATGCAATACAATTAATGAATGTTATACGAGGTACATTCTATGAGCTTTATTGTGAAATTAGGGGTTGGTTATATCCACAAACCAACGAATTTCTTTCTTCAAGGATCTTTAAAGTTGGTATTAAATCAAATAAACGTATACTTTGCAATAACCACAAAAATAAATATAAATAAACGTTGAAGTTAATCACACTTCTTTCAAAATTTCAACAATAAAACAAACTCTTTTAGTCATGCTCTTTGCAGCACTCTTCCTAACATCTTTGTTGGCACAATGAGAATTAATGTTGGAAATGGAACAAAAGAATGGGTATGTGTTCTAAATTATTCTAAAAACATGAGAAAATGAGGGTTTTTTTTGCAAATTTGCACCCTCATTTAAATTTTTATGTAAACTTATATCCATCCTAATATTTATTAACTGCGTGTGCATGTTTATCAGTCACTGGGACTCCGTGTCATCTTGATAGTACTTGTCCTGGCAGACTTTTTTTGGCGTGTACGATCTTCTCCTCGGAAGTTTTTGCAGAGTTGATGCTCCTGATGACAAAAAATGCAAACTTACTGATACTCGTCTTAATGGAAATGCTATGTTAATGCTTCATACGCTAGCAATTCTTGCAAAGATAAAGATTTCACATACCGTTTTATCATCAGAACTCCTTACACAAAATATAATGGCTGTGGAACTTTGATTTGTAACAAAAAGTATGGCAATGCATGCCAAAATTCTGACTCTCGTTCTTATGGAACTCCTTGCATGGCAGATACAGCATGCAGAATTAGGTCATGTATCTCCACCGGTAAGTGCTCATAGATATATTATTTAATTTTATACTACGCATTTTAGATATTAGCTATTAGATTATATTACTAATCATTATTGGTTGAACTAATAAATAACCATACCATCTGACCTGAACTTCTTTAATCTTCATATTTAATTATTCGTGCATTACTTCCTCCCTGTAAAAGATAAATATAAAAAATCCTTTATACGGGGATCCACGTTCCAGCATTAATATCATCTCAGACATTAGTATTAGCATCACTAATTATAGTATAATAAGTAGAGAGAAAGTTTGTGTAATCAATCCAAAAGGATAAATTCGTGCTGAGCTTATTCTGCTTCTCAAGTTTGATTAGGCAATAAACCAAAAAAATTAAATCAAATATGTATCTTCTTTTCAAAAATAAACATGCACTTATATAGCAGTCCTTGTTCTTGGATTAACATTACCTGCGTGATATTTGTTGGTTTAATTAAAAATTAATGGTAATGTAAAAACGTTTCTTAAATGATTAAAGCAAATGTTTATTATATATTGGTTTTAAAAATAATTTAAAACAAACACTGTAATCAAACCAAATACTGATAATCCCATCTTTTGTGTTTGATGAAATTAAAGAGTTTATTATAAAAACATCGTCAATCCACCATTTCACCTAAAAAACACATCAGTCAATAATATTAAATTAGCAAAAATAGTATCATTTTTCTCATTATCATTGTGATTGGACTTTTTTAACTTCTTACTACACTACAAGTCTTACAAAAGCAATTAATTTAATAAAGTCTAAAAGAAAACATTAACCACAAACCCAGTTGGCAAACAAAAATATTGGAAGATGTTGAAAATCTGCTAAAGGTTTTTAAAACTTATTTGATAAAAGGCTGCTGAATTGGACCAAGATTTTTCATTTAATAAATGGCAACTTAAATCAAAAGAGTTACCACTGTTTTTGTTTTAAAAATATGCATTTTTTTTGATATTAATCTAATTTCCAGCACATGACAGGCATCTAATTGAAGAAACTCGAAAATTGAAGCGATTGAGTGAGTTGAGGAGGAAGTTAGCCGGAGATGAATAGAATGAGGATAGAAGAAAGAAGAAAATGGACAGTTGAGAAAGGAGGACTTGAAAGAGAAAGGAAATTAAACAATTGGAAACGAAGATGAATTGATCAGAGAAGCAGATACATTATTTAGAAAGAAATTTATTTGAATTACAACAGAAACGAACACGTAATTATCCTGACAATTTTGAATGATGAAATGATGATCTTATATTCATTCCATTTCATATACTATTTGTACTAATTTATACCTCAAAAATTTCTTATTAAAGGTAAAAATTATGGACAATATTATTTATAATTTCATTCATTTGCATAATGTTAATTATCATAATCCCAACATTCAAACATTCGTTATCACAACTTGATATTATGAAAGAAACATCATTTGTGAAATCACACTTTTATGTTTTTTAAGTTCATATTTGGAGCAGCTTAAGAATATGGACGCCTCCTCGTATTTGCACAGCCTACTGCACGGAAGCTTATTGCAGTTAATAATTTGGAGAAAAGATGGAAAATTATGGCCATGGAATTCCTCAACGTTATTTTTCTGCATTTACAACTTCTTTGGAATAATCCAAATCATAAAATCTGCAGTTGAAAAGCAGCGATAACTCTCATAATCCAGGGTTTGTACATGGAATTATGTTTGTATGTAATAATTTAGGCTGTCTAGACCAAAATGGAAAAGTTAACATTCAAATATTTGAAGGAGGTCGAGAAGGAGAAGTTCAATATCCTTTCTTCATCAATCAAAATAACATTCAATGGGATGATGAGAATTTTATCAATTCTTTTATTCCCTTATTTTTTAAAAATCTACCTATGCATAAAAAAGTAATACTGATATTCAACTTGTTGGCCATCTTATACTTCCATTAGAAAATTGCGTTGTCTTACATAAGTAAATTTGGGTTTGCGCAAAATTGTGTAATAAATCCAGCAAAACGGACATTTGTATGTATATTTGATGATACCAATCATATGTTATGATAAAAAATGGTCAGCCCCTATTACTATCCTTAAGTAAAACAAAGTGGGTGATGGATAGATTCATTCAAGAAGATAATAATATTAAAATTTTTCATTTTAATTTTAATAGAAATGAAATTTCAAAATATTTTTTTTGTAAAAATGGTTTTGTTAAGATCTGGTGTGTATATGACATATTAAGGAAATGTAGAACTTTGCATGCGGTGATGGTTAAGATATGCTAAAGAAACATAGAACTTTGTGTATGGTAGGTAAATACATCTTCATTATCAAAAAACAAATTTCTATATTAATATGAATTGTATAAAAATGGGATATTCATTGTGTTAATATCAGACAAACAAGGACAAATAATTTTTTTGGATCTTTTCATACAACAATAAATTTTAAATGTTACTTACTAATATATAAAAACCAAAAACGAAGTTAATAAAGACTTTACTAAGTAAACTATCCAAGCAAACTTGTCAAAAACATTTTACATATATTTCATTCCTTGATGACTTATGAAATAAAACTTGAGCAAAATTTTTATTTTATTATATCAATATATAGTAATAGTTGTACAAAAATTGTAATTAAATTTGTGTAGCACATAATGTAAAAAAAAAAAAATGCTTATAACAACTTTACCACAGGAAATTTTCATTGAAATATTTAAATACATTGAAGAGGATTATAAAACATTATATTCTTGTGTTCTTGTCAATAAAAAATGGCATAATATCAATATTCCAATTTTATGGAGAAACCCATTTATTTCCAGAAACAGCATCAAAATATTAATTAATTGCTTACTAGAAGAAGATAAAAATTTCTTGGTGGAAAATGATATTGTATTA